TATTTAATTTAACTTGAATTAAACTAACCTCAACATTGTTATGTAATAGCATTATTACTTATTAGCATAACTATTCACCAAGTAAAATATATTATCATAACTATTCATCAAGTAAAGTATATTTACATACAAACTACCATATGGTGTGGACTAAAAGACATTCTTTATAATACTCTTTATGATTTTTAGTATTAAAGATGGCACTTAGAATATATAAATATTTATTGCGACATTCATATAGTGCAATACATACCTCTATATTAATGAACTATCTGTCAAAATTAAAGATAAACAAGGTAATTACTTATTGCGTGACAATTAAATTACACTACATAAACAGGAGGGAACGTACCTGATCCAAAGTAAATCCTACACATGGCGTGATCAATTATAACTAATATAAATAATTTCAGTTTTAATTAATTACTCTATGTATGGGATTCACTTTGGATCAGGTATATTTCCTCCTGTTCACTACATATGAGACAATTTAGATATGTTGTTAGTTTTAAGTATATACTGTATTATTAGTAAATTGTCGCATAGTGTAATTTAATTTTTTATATAATAAGTAATTATATACCAGTATGTATATACGTACATGTCTTTTTCATCTCTAATCAGAATGTATAATTTAAAATATTTGTGCCTTCTTGTAACTATTAATAGTGTAGAATACTATAGAGTGAATTTACAAATTATTTTAATGATGCAAGACTTGAGGATATACTTTTTTGCTGAAAAGTAAACTATATTATACTTCTTTAAAATTACTTTTGCAAATTATCAAAGCTATTATTTAAGTATGAAAATTATACTATGAAAATTCATATAATACTGAATAGCATCATCTTTTTAAGCACCAATTACATAAATGCAAATAAAACATACTATGAGTCTAATAAATTAGACATATTATGTTAAAAAAAAAAAAAAAACAAACAAAAGATTATAAAAGAATGATTAGAATAGAATTAGCTTCTAAAGTTTCATAGTAGCAAAAAGAAAAAAAATGTCTAACCTTCAGCTTGAAATCCTTTATGATTGTAGCTATGGTGAATCTAATGTGAAAAACTATTTAAATTAGAATCACAAATGGCATAATATTATTTGGTTGAATGAGTCCAATTTTAAGTATACTCTCAATGAAGAATTTGATGAATTGTGCCTAGGTTCTATCATAAATCATAACTCTAGTCTCATGTTTTGGGCTTGTTTTTCATGGCATGGACTAGGACCGATAGTCCCTATTCATGGCAATGTAAATAGTGAAGTTTATGCTAAACTTATAGTAAACCACGCTATTCCCGCTATATGACATCTAGTTTCTGATGAGCAAGGTATTTTTCAGCAAGACAGTGCTACCCCTCATAAATATTGGAAAGTTAAAGAAGTTCTTAAACAAGCTAGTATTCCTGTCCTTCCTTGGCTTGCCCAAAGTTCAGATATGAGTCCAATGGAACTCATGTAGCAAGAAGTTGAAAGACGGTTGCATAATTCTTTGGATAAACCTACAAATATTGATGATTTGAAGGAAAAGGTCATAGCAGTATAGTATTCAATTCCATCCCAATATTATCATGGAGTGGTGCATAGGTGGTTCATCAATAAAAACATGATATGAAACTAAAGGCAGATTTTTGTGATCATATAGTTTTGCAATCATGTAGCTTTAAGCTCTGCAATTATATAGCAACAATGCCATTATGAAAATATTAAATAAAATAAAAAAATATTTCAACCCAAGTTAAAGTTGTTTCTGTTACTATTATAGATTGAAATTATCTTTTATTCATGAGCCACTAATTAAAGTTATTTAAACCAAAATTTTAATAATACTTACCTATTGAAAAATAATGGTAGATCTACTCTAACCAGTAGGTTGTATCAGTTCTAAATCTGTCTCAAGACCAGTTCTAACTCTTACATTTTGAAAATTTTTGAATTTTTGAGATGCTTTGCCACTATTTTTCAATAAATAAGTACTATTAAAATTTTGTTTAGGATGTGGCGACTTAGTGAAGTGGATAAGTTGTCATACCCCTAAGTGGTAGATTGTGAGTTTAAAACCCACCAACGGTGAAATTTGAATAATCACCTATGTAATATATAAACGGTATTACGGCGACAGCATTCTGATGATCAGTTGGGATAGGATACCTGTAACTATGGTCGCACCAGCATGACTGGCAGGTCTGGGGCATCTGTATAACCTG